GGTGGATGTGGACAATGGGCTGTCGGGTGCGGTCGGCATGAGTAAGAAGGAGCTGTTGAAGTACGCCAACGACCCCTTTTGGGTCCGCCTTCGCATGTCTTTGTTTGTCATGTTTTGGGTCGTTTGGATCGCAATGCTTGTCGTGTCCGGCATTATCGTCGCCCTCACTCCCAAGTGTCCCAAAGAACCGCAACCATGAGTCCAGAGTGGCATCGGGTCTACGGTTACCACTAATACCACAACGAGATAATGGTTTATGTTTTTATGCTTTTGATTACATTTTAAGTAAATTTTATATTCATTTTTTCAGAACAGAAATTATTTTATGTTTTTAATCATTAAATTGATTAATAAATAGTTTATAATAGAAATTAAGTGTTAAATGCATTGAAAGTATTGTTATTCAAATTCAATGCCTTTAAATGTAAATGTATTGCAAAGTGTGTGTGAAGTGAAGTACGTCTGCATTGAAGGCAAGCATTGCTTATGTATTGAATGTTTGGATCGCTTCCACACCGACTGATTCAGTGATCACTTGTTTTGTATTCAATTGTTTAACCATTTGTTTAACACATTGTAATTGTCTTTAAAAAGTTGAATAAAATGAATGAAAATGAAATAATTTGCAGTCATTTGTGTCATTCAATTGATGTGATTATGGATGAGAAGAGCGGTCTTCAGGAGAGGAATACCGCCAATCAATACATGGATTCGTTTAAATCAAATCAAAACGTTTTCATCTTATTTGATGTCTCCTTAAGACTTCTGAACCAAACCACCGATGAGTTGAACACTAAGTCCGTTGTCTACAAAGTGTTTGGTCTGCAGACACTTGAAGTGGTCATCAAATTTCATTGGAATTCAATCGATGACAGTCTGAAGCAACAAATCAAACAATTGATCCAAAACTGGTTTTTGGTTGACTTGTCTTCGGATGAGGTTGTGGTGAAGGAATGGCGACATATGATGAACGGATTGAGTCGATGTGTTGTCGAAGTAGTGATCAGAGAGTGGCCGCAAAATTGGCC